TGAAACACTGAAGAACTGCAGTTGCAGCTGGTGAACCTGATCTGCAGTTCCACTACTAGGACATATAGGAAGAATTTGGTGATGTTCCCTGCACTTAAACTGGTCATGAAACGACACTTGGGTAGGAAGAATTGTCCTTGCAGTATTAAAAGCTGTATTTTAAAATGTAGCCAGCTGAATGTCAGTCCTGGAAGGTGGAAACGAGTCTTGGAGTGACTGAAATTGCATACCGCCAGGTTGAAGGCCTGCAGCATCAGTGAGTTGCTATGTCAGTAAGATTTTTTTCATGACTTTTTATATACTGTCTATACTCCCACCCCCTGCTTCAGAGGCACAATCGGGAGAGTTTCTTTTGGTACCAGGTAGGTTGGCTCTTGCTGGTGGCCTTCAGTAGCCTGGCATGACTCAAGAGGCCAGTCAGTTTGTTCCAGAGAATCTGAGCCTCACACATCTTTTACACTATTAAAAAGGGAAAATTGCCAGCTTGTTTAAATGCTGAGTGTTCCCGAAAACCGAAGTCATTAGACAAGAGATGGAAAGGCCATGTGAGTTAAAGCAACCACAAGGACTTTTGTAACAACGGGTGCTCTTGCCAGATAAGGTTTCATTCATTTTACACAACCACAGGAAATGAAACTTGTTGCTTGCAGGCAATACAATGTTTGATTTGCATGTCCAATACAAGTCAGAGCTTTACTGCATTTGTACATTTTTTAAATGTGTAGTATGAAACAAAGGTGCTTTTGGTTCATGCCATTTAGTTGTGGTTCCTTTAGATTTTTTTGAAATGCTTTACACAGAAAGTATTAGGAATTAAGATATGATTAAAATCCCATAATCAGTGGTTCAAGTAGCAACCACATACGGTTGATTAGAGTAAACTAAACATGGAGCATTTTTCACAAGTTCTTAAAAAAAGAGTCCTTCAGTGGTTAAAATATGAAGTAAGCAAGAAGGCTTGTCTGGTGCAAACGTCCCTGCTCCTTCTTGGAGAGCAAAAGTGTAGTACCAATTTGGCAACAAGTGTTTCACCAATATTTTTTTTTCCACATGGATTTCAGGTTTTCCTTCAGTTTTGATTTAAAGCAAATTTTTTCTGAGGTTAATTTTCAAGTGAAAAATTTACTAAACGTCCTGTCAGTTTAAATGATCGCTATTAAATGTTTCATGTACAGTAGATGTAGAAATATAACAGTTAATAAAGGAATAAACTGAGTTCCAAATATAACATTTAGTTAAAATTTTGCTTTGAAATAATTTGTGACAGAAAAGCTGCAGTTAGCCACTTCACACAGTGCGCTGGCTGCCTCTGTTTCTCTAAGGCACAGCCTAAAAAACTTCAAGCAGCTTTAAAATGAATGATGTAATGAGCAAATAATTGGAATATGCCTATTAAATGCCATCTTGTTATGTCATGTCATTTACATGTATGTGCAAATAAATCTCAGCTTTTCAAGTTCCATAAAATTTCTGACAAGAAATCATGTCAGGTATAAATAATGACAGGATTCCATTGCCTGCCAAATTCTTTCAGCATGTAATAATTTCCATGTGATCTTACTACAACTAGGTTTAAACACATAAATAATGTCAGTTTATTCTTTCATTATCAGTATTTCTGCTACCAGCTTGACGAAGCTTGCTGTCTTCCAAAAATGTCAGATCCACAATGTTTATATGCTTCTACGCAGATGCCTAGTTCTACAGCTAGACTCATATAGTGTTCCTTTTTTTCGGCAAAAATTCAAAACTCCCAAATTACTACAGATTCCATTAGAAAAATGTGCTATTAATGAACTGAGATGTAAGAAAGATGTAGAGCAAATACAGCTAAGTACAGGTTACAGATCAATTGATTTCAAAGGCTGCTAATCAAAATTGATTTTTGAATGACCATTTCCATAATGAATTTATAATAATACTTCAACATTTGGCCAAAGTGGAAAATTATTGCTTTTTCAAAACCACACGACATAACACTTAGAAAGCAACAATTCATTCAAAAGGAAATGTGGTTTTCTTAAGGAATAAAGTCAATTTATTTAAGTGGTTCAAAACTTGTTCTGTCTATGCATTTGTTTCTGCCATAGTAATGAGCTGCTAAACTTTCCTCTTGTGGTTTGTAGTTATTTAGCTCATTATAGTAACATAATCATATATCATTATATGCTATAATAAATCTGCCACTTTTCCCTTACAGAGTTAATCTTTTTAAATTGAATAATCTGTTGAGCATCAGGTTGAGTTAGTTTTTCCTTCAGCACAAATCATTTAATATAATACGCTTTAACTTTTCAGACTAAGTCAGTCCAACCAAAAAGCAAAAGTACTCCTCAGAGAATGAAGGGCAGAGGGAACTGTTGGGATACTGAACCCCGTTACAGCTGTGAATTACTCACTGGGTTTGTGTTCAACTCCTGCGTTTCAGACCTAGCCTCAGCATATATTGAGAGAAAGCAAACCTCCTATTTTGCCCACTGGTAAACTGATCACGTGATACTTCGCCAGCCAAAAATGACCTTATACAAATGACAGTACAGCTGTGAAATGAGTTTCAAAAAGCTGGTTATCTGCCTGTATAAACTTATATGCTTGGTTATACTTGCAACCAGACAGATGTCCTGCACACTTCTTTATTGTGAATATTTACCACACTTAAGCAGCATACCATCTGGATTATATAACATATTTCTTAAATATACAAGCTCCTGTTACTGGAAGAATCTGTGATAATAATATCCCTTGCTAATTTATACCTCAAAAATTGCAGAAACATTAATTAGTTCCCACAGCAGAACTCTGGAATAGGTGAATAAGCTCCCGATTAGAAAGGCTGAGTAATTCAGAGCAAAAAATGTTTTAAATTAAGCAGTGGGACAGCTGCTTAGCTGCTCCCGTTCCTGTCCTCAAATCACACTGGCGCTCTATAGTTGTACAGAGTGCCTTTGCATATTATTATATAAAATAATACAGATGCCAAACTTCCAAATAATAAATATCAAATTATTTTTTCTTTGTCTAAGCTCATGTCTAGTGCATCACTATCAGTGGACTGAGCAGGACATTGCCAAGGTGTGCTTCAGCCCACGTATTTTGGGACTAGATGGCTCTTGCTTTGGCAGAGTCACTCTCTCCAAGCTGACGGAAGGCTGAATGACCAGTCAGATGAGGTGCATAGCTAGCAGTCATCTACTGAAAAACCTGAATAAATGCAATAAACCTGCTGTTCTGATAGCTTTCCCCATTATGATAACATATCACAGTACAAACTGGTCTGAAAATTTTTCTCGGTATGTGTATCAAGCCACTTTAAAAATTGGAGTTCCCATTAAATGCTGTCAGTCCCTTAATAGGACAGTATTGGCCGAAAATGCAAAAACTGAAATAAATTCTTTCTCCCCAGCTAGGAAGTAGGAAAGTTAAAAAAAAAAAAAAAAAAAAGAAAAAAAAAAGAGGGTAGAGTTACCTTGAGATCCCTGCTGTATGGACTGGTTTTGAAATTGAGCGTATGGTTTATTTGGTATTCCAGAAAATTGCTGCCCATTTGGTGACTGGCTGTGTGATGACGGAGAGCCGTGTTTCTGCAATAGGGAAGGCGGAACTAATGCTTTCAGGGGGCTGACAAGTGGAGAGATTATGTTGGGAGCAAGCCTAGAAAAAGAAAATACAGAAAAACTTCACATATCACATCACAGTACGGGAAAATGAAATACTTGAAAGGCCCTATTTCCATAATGGCCAAACTATAGAAACATTTATTTTGCAGGTAGAAATTATACGGTAAAAGAAAGGTAACAATGCAGTGCTGCTTTCAGGTATTCATTAGGAGGAAAGGCAGTTAGAAAAGGATTTCTGTTCCTTTACACTGACTTCTTGTATTAGCCATAATGACAGGATCAAAATGACACCGCTCCTCAGTAAGCAACTTAAACGCAGCTCAGTTTTAATTTAAAATTTCGTGAGCTGAGATACATGTCCAGAAAACAGAAGTGGAAAATGTAGTTAGAGTGAGTAAATGCAAGTAAATTGTTTAAGTGCCTTTGTAGCTGTAACGGGGTAAAGCTTTACACCCAAGTTGCAGCCAAGACAAAGAAAAGCATTAGTTTCAGTTATTCCTCATGTAGGATTTTTTAGACTTAGAAATACAGCTTTAACTGCAACAGACGGTACCGTCCTTTCAAAGAAAAAGCCTGAGTAAGTGCTTGCTTGTGGCGGCACTGCTCAGTGTAAGACTGAGAAGTGGTTGTACCTGAGAGATGGAAAATTCCCCCCAGACGTCTGGGACCCGGGCCAGCACAAGAGCGCTGGGGCAGTCCCGCTCGGGGAACAGACCCCGACCCAACACTCCCAGGAGGAGCTGGAGCAGCTGAGGAAGAACCTCACTAACCCACTTCCATGAAGTCCTCGGGCATCCTCTGCCACCGGTGGAGCAGAGAAGCTTCAGTGCTTCCTCCCTGCCACAGCGCGACCATCTCACCAAGGGGTGGTACGGCAGCTGGCCCAGAAGGGACGGACCCTTTGCCAGAGAACTGTCTTTTGGCCATTTACAGCCAGAAAGATGGCATGGTGCAGAAGATGGGACCAAAAACCTGGCCATTCACGTTCAAGCCTCTTTTAGAGCTGCATTAAACTAACTCTATAAATGAGTAAATAGGTAGAAGCTGGATCTTTTACCCTCCTACGGTAGCTGTGACAAATGGCCTTTTGCTCCATAGCCCAGTGTTACACTGTCAAATGTGCGGGCTGCGTGGACCATATGTTCACCGTATACTCTCTGCTGCTTCTGGAACGTTTGCTAAACATAAGCAGTGGCTCTTTGAGCAGCCCTAGAACCTTCAGATGCTAGAAAAAACACCTGTATGTTTGAGAGCCACTCTGCTGAAACTTCACAGCTACACGTCCTGAGGTGCAGAAATAAAAATACTCCTGCAGGTTATAATACATGTCACCTAGCTGGAAAAAAAATATTGAGCACTAACCATTGCAGGCGTACAAAGAATCAACTACAAAACAAATTAAATCTCTCTCTAGTGTCTTCCTCTACCACCGCACAAGCCGTGCAAACACCATAAACCATGATTTGCAATAGCAGTTCCTCACCAGTTTACACGACTGCTTCTTGGAGCAGTTAGGATTAAACTTGGGGAGTGAGGCTATGCCTGACTTAGGGCTAAGCACTACATGGGAGCGTTCCAGAGGTAAATATAGATGAACTGTGAATTAATGGTGACAACAGCTTTATCAAATTTAACATGAGAGGCAGAGGAACGCTGCCGAAAGCTGTCACAGTGACACTCTATTAAAAGGGGCTTAAATAAATCAACCAGTCAAAGCCCATCCTATGCTGAAATAATTCCATCTCCCGAAGCAGGAAAATAAGGCATATAATACAAACCACAGAGACTCTGAATATCCCCAAACTAAACTGACAATTAAACCAGTATTGTTAAATGGGTGAAGACAAGGATATTTTCAAGTCAAACATGTAAGAACTAGAAAATTTTTTTTTGTGAGAAAGACCCCCCCGCTAAGCGATGACCAGCGATATGTAAAATAAAGAGGACTAAAGTCGAATTTTAAGAGCCAACATGCAAAGAAAAAAATCTTATCTGTTTTTTGTTTTAACTGCATATTAAAAAGGGCTCAGCAACAGAGCTGGGATGGCCCTTGCCCTACCCGAGGGTAAAGGCCTGGGGCTGCAGAGGTGCTAAAAAGGGACGTGAGGAATGCGGGGGCCACCTTGTGCCCTCTTCAGGTCAGAGACAGAAAATGCTCTCTGGAGTCTGAACTGCTGAAGAGCAGATGCTCGGGGGAAAATACCGAGTTTATTTGCTGAGAAGCAGCTAAACGCTAAGGTCAGCTCCCATGTGGCTGTAGTTTTTCCTCAAAGGTCTCAGTAGAGAAATAGTTTAACAGAAATGAGCTGTTGTGCAGCCCAGCTACAAGTCGTATCTTCTGCAAATGCTCTCAAATGCGTGTCTGTGGTGAACTATTGCATGAAGATGGGGCTGACGTTATCTGCTGGGACCTGCAGAAAAGCCCTTGCTTCGGTCTCTTCCGAGGCTGCAAGGGAGTGCCAGCAAAGCACAACCACAAATTGCAAAACGGTCACCAGCCCCTTCAAACCGCACACATGGAGACACTGTCCTCGACATGCCAGAAATGCCATTAGAAGCCTGGAAATGCTTCTATCTGAAAGGAGATTAAAAAGATTGCAGTTGTTTTCACTGGAAAGATAATAGCTAAAAGAGAACACGAACACGATAGTGACATTTATATGGATAATGACCACACACACATCTTAAAGAGAAACAAAAGATGTGCTAAAAACTCCAAGGCCTGGATGAGCCAGAAACCACTCTGAATGAGGGAGGAAAATACTTCTGGTGAGCGAGTACCCTGCAACCGCCTGTGCTGGGTTTCCTCTGCCTTCTCTTGAAATGTCTTCTCCTGGCTGCTGCTGGGAAATGTAGCACCCCATAGAAGCCTGCCGGGCTGCTCTGTGTCGAGTGCTTTGTTAGGATGGTCGAGTAATTGCATTTTTAAATTCTGTGCAAATATGTTGCATGTCAAACAAAAATGGTACATTTAAGGTGTCCAGCTGTGGGAATACTGAAAAATCCCAGCTTCCCTACCCTGTTTAACTACTCCCAGAGGCTATCTAAATCTTAACCATGTGAGAAGAATTTAACAGTTTTTATTGTTATTTTTAAAGCAGCCCGTCTCCCCATTCACACTCTTTTGCATTCCTGTTTTCCCTGCGTGTGACCTCAACAGTTGTGATAGCGTTTGTGCCTCGAAGCCTTTGAAATGACTGGTTACGAGCAGGTGAGATTCCCCACGCGAGGCAGGAGGGGTGCGGAGGTGTGCGGGGCCCTGCTCCAGCTGGGTAAGCTGCACAGAGCTGCCAGCTCGCTGCTCCCACTCAGCACTGCTGTCACGGTGCTGGAGCGCAGCGAACATAGCTGTCTGCGGGCAGCCAGTATCCTAGTAACTTACTGCAGCACAGGAACTTGAGCTGAAACCCTGAAAGCTCTGTCTAACGCTTGACCGTCGCTGCCTCCCCTGCATGAAGAGAGTTTCATACAGTTGAGCAGGTCAACGTAAAATCTACTACGTTCTGCTCAGTCTCTCCCAAACAGGGAATTTAACACGTATCCCTTAAGTTAAGGCACAGTTTTTAGCTAGGAAAGAGTTTTGCTCAGCAGAAAAATCTGGCTATATTAGCACAAGTGGCCAACATGGGGATTTGTCTCCTTAAAATATTCATCACAATGCCTACAGCTCGAGCTGGTCCCTAAAATACTATTTTGTGTGTGTGCATGCATGTGTGAATGTGCTTTGGCATGCTCAAGAAGAGGTTTTTCATCAGCTAACTGTCCAGTTCCCAGTGACGTGTTTTTAATTCTCTCCTGAATATTTGCCTACTGATTCGGTTGCTGTGATACTCAGGTTGTTAAAAAAGAGGAGGAATCATTTCTGATAGAAATTAAATAGATAATGCATTAGCAACAGAAAAGAGCTTAAAAGGAGATGCCTTCTGTGTGGAAGAAGAAACACTAAACTACTTATACCAGCAACTCAGCTGGATACATTAAAAATTCCCAGGCAGCAGCTCAGGCATATATGTTTCAATAACTAATAGCCTGGACATTTCCTGTTAATACTGTACTACAACCACAGTTTGCTTTTGTTTGGATATTAATAATAAATATATACCATGTATTTTACTTTAATTGTAACTTGTATAATTCAGTAAATTTGCAGGTCCTTTGGGGGCCTTTTAATATATGTCTGTGCCTATATATAGCTATATAGAAAGATATATAAATAAATACTCACACACACGTAAAAAAAAATCCTTATCCTTCCTTAATTCATTACATTTGAGGGCTCCTGGCTATATGGAATATTTCTGTTCAGGAGCATAAATCTTTTTGCTATCTCCCTAACCTTGTGACAAAGCTAAGAAGAATCAACAGTTCTTACAGATCACTTGCACTGCTGATGTAGTCTGACTGTCGATATAGTCTTACAAGGACGCTTGACGGTAAAACACTTAGCAACTCAAACAACAAATTAACGCACTGCAAGGCTTTTACTACTCCATTATCAGAAACCGTATGTCCCTTATGTGAAAGGTAACCTGTTAACCATGCATTTACCTTATTCCTAGCCATTATTTGCTACAGACACTAATGAAGTTACTAGCAAGCCCTCTCTGAATCCAGAATTCCAGTTGCCTATCAATGAAACTGCTATTGCTAAAACCCTTGCTGTATGCAATATATGATGCAAGTAGGAAAGCTTTTATCACTTGAAGATTCATTTTGGTGACTTCAGACCTAATAACAGTAGGAGCTTCTCGATACCTCTCATACAGAGAGGTACGCACCAAAAGAGTCTATGCTCCCTGCATGTGTTGACTGGTTTTGAACTTACAGTATCTTCTGGGAACAGCAGTGTTGCAGGAATAATGTGCAACTTTCTTGAGCAGTGGTAATAACAGAAAGGGGACTATACAGTCGGATGCAGTAAGAATCTACTTATTAATGACCATATATTACATAGCGGTAAAACCAGAAAAGAACAGAAAGGGGAACTTACAGTCGGATGCAAGAAAAAATCTACTTATTAATGACCATATATTA